TTTAAGGGGGCAGGGTGGGGGAGGGGCACAAAGGACCCTCACCAAGTATTTTGACGTTTTCAGCCGACAAAATTGGACCCTTTGCCAAAATTCCAATTGCGGCCTCGTGCGAGAAGCTCCCCAGCCATTTTGGACTAGACACCAAGACCACAACAGTGTCCACACGAGAGTCAAAAACCACACTCCCCCCAGTCCCCGCTGATCCCAAACCCCTCCCCTTGCCTCCCTGGGTCTGTCAGAACTTGCAGGGGACTGCTGGCTCCCTCGCTTATATCCTGGCCTCCCCAAAAGGAAGATTATCACACACACACACACACACACACACACACACACACACACACACACAGCCCTGTGCCCCCAGCCAACACGGCCATTCACGCCAGCAGAAGAGTCCATGCCAGCGGACGGGAACCATTACCCGCGGCCTGGGGACAATGCAGGAGGAGAGAAACGGAACAAGTCCATTGGCCCCATTTTTACAACCAGAAAGAACTTTGTGGTTCCAGTCCTGCATTACACGGCCGCTGCCTCCTTCCGAGACTGCTTCCCTCCCGAGAGCCGCTACAGTGCTCAAACCAACATCACACATTCAAATGGGAGCGTGCACCTTGGCAGGGAAGGTCTCGTGTCTGAAACACAGGGGCTGTCTACACATGGAGTTATTCGGGAATAGCCTTCTGGAGCAACTCCACCTGCACTAGAGATGTGAAGGCCCAGTCGGCTGACACAAATACTTATTGGGTAGTCGACACACTAGTCGCTTCCCCCCCTTGCTGCCTCTCTCAGAAAGAGGCAGCAAGAGAGGTTGAGGGAGGGGGTGCTTCAAAGCGGCAGTGCCGCATGGAGCCCAGGGTCAGCTAGATTCCCCCGCTGACTCCGGGCTCCATGCGGCGCTGACGCTTTGAAATGCCACGGGGAGTACAGGGCCAGCGGGGGACTGCTGAGTCCCCCTGTGGCCCCGTGCTCTCTGCAGCGCTTTCGCCTTTGCCGTGGAACAACAGCCCTGGGGTCAGAGGCACCCTCATCGACTAACCGAACCATGCAAACTGCATTGACTATTCCAGTCCCCAATTAATCTAAACTTAACATCCCTAACCTGCACCCTCTCTCATTCCAGATCCTGTTCGGCTTTAACCCACCGTGACCCCGGAACGAGAGTCCGCATACGGAATGGCTCGAGACCAACAACAGTGCGTTCTCAATTCGCCCTCCACCTTCACCTGAATTAACTCTCACGCATGGACCATCGCTTACTGCCCCCGCTGGTCAACTTCTCCAAACTGCTCCTAGAGGAAATCCACCCTGGAGGGGTGGCTATTTCCCTAGGACCTCAGCTAGCTGCGATGCTGAGAAGCGGTTTAGGAAGTTTACCCCCCCCGCCATGTACCTCAAGTGTCGCAAGGGCGAGTTATAAAAGCTCGGATTCGGAAAACTGGCGAAGCAAAGACAGACTTCTCACCCCTCGGGGCTGGGCGGATTCCACTGGACCCATAAAATAAAGGCGCCTCCAAAGAGACAACCCCCCGACATTCCAGCACATGCCCCAGACAGAGGAAGGGTACGGTCACAGCTCTTCTCCCAGCCCTTGATCCGCTCTCAGACTGAGGAGAGACACTGGCTGGTCCCCAAGTTAAGGCCTCTCCCACTCCTGGGCAGATACGACTTGGCAACCCGCACGAGCGGTAAAATCCTGCTGCTCCGCCACAGAGATGGAGTGCTCCCTAGCCAGGCAGGAGCTGAAACGCTGCAGGGCAAGTACAAGGCAGCTTAGAGGAGGAAAGAGCGAGAGGAAGGCAGCGTGGGATTATCATTTCCATGAAGCAGCTGGTGGCCCAGCTCTCTGCCTCAGCCCTTTAATCACCAGAAGCAAGACTGCTGGAAACACACAGCTATCCAGGGGGCCAGCAGGAGGCAGTTCCTATATGGCAGGCGGGAAGAAAGTTGCCAAAGGAGGAACAACACCGCACCCAAGGAGAGAGAGAGGACATGGCTTGTACTGCTGCATATTAAAAAGGCAACAACGTTAAGATGGCTCCTATTGAGTTTGTCCATTTGTTCAAGCACGCCTCCTGGACGGTCCCAACTCTTACCGTTTAACTCAGGATCCAGCTTGCTCTCAACAACGTAAAGCAAGGTCGGGGTTGATTGTGCCAGGACAATGGGACGTGCTCAGCATGGAATGGCTTCTCAGAAAAACAGACAAAAAATAGAATCAACAGGCAGGTGAAAGACGGCAGCTGGGGGGGAATGCCCCCCCCTTTATCCGGGACTGCCCCTACCCCAAGCTTCCCACCCCCCAGGTGCCCTTTAGAGACAGCGTGGGGGGGAGGGTGAGGAAGAGGACAGGAGAACTGAAGCTCCCCGCTCCCCCTGAATATGTACAGGAGCATTGCAGGCTGTTCCCCTTTGTCAGGGAGCAAGGGGAAGTGCAGTTTGCCTAATTCCTCACTCTGGCTGGGGAGAGCAGCGGGCAGACGAACCTGGACCTGCCCTAGCTGGGGGACATGCACCCCTCCCCCCACAGCCATGGACCGGCACATCTCCTCTGGCCCCAAGCTGCTGCGGTGACAGAGGACTGGAACTAGCCTCTCTCCGAGAGGCAGTATGCATCCTGAAGCCCTCACCCCCAAGCAGAGATTTACATGCAGCATGGACATTTTCATTTGATTTTTCAAAAAGAAATTTGAGTTAAGGATCTGAGCAAGGCTTGCCAAGGAGATAGCCAGCGACGTTGGGGGAATAAAAATGGAGCTCAGAAAAAGGAATCTTCCAAAGCAACCCAACTAAAGTTTGAGTATTTCCAGCATGCAAATAAAGCCTCAAGACTTGGTTCGTACCTATCACCCGTTACCCAGAAATTGGTGTACCGGGGTCATCTCATGGCCCAGGATGGTCTATGACACTCACTCTGCATCCAGCACCAGACCATGTTTCCAAATATCCCTATTAGTAGAGAGAGGCACGTTGCCAGTGATCTGCCCAGGAGATGAAAATGGCAGGGGAAGAGATCACCTTCTCTAACGTAACGAGGGGGAAGAGCAGAGGGCGATGGAGATTTTGGCCAGGCGACGCAACCAAGTAACGTTCATCTGCAACCATCGCTTGTGCTTGTTTTTACTAACACCCCATGTGCTACAAAAGCACTGCACTCACATCACTGTTGCACCATGGTGTAGACACCTTCTGTTGCGGTCACGAGTGTTTTTCCACAGCTGTAGCAAAACTCACCCACCACCACTCCTGAGTGGAGACCAATCTTCCACCAGCCTTGCAAGCATCTACACTCGGCCTTGGGTCCATTCAACCACGAGCGCAGGGGGTGGGAAGCAATGCAGCTAGGCTAACGTAAGCACCAAGTCGAGACAAGGCCTCGTACTCCTCCCTCTTGGGCGTGGTTTCTGGTTCAGCTTTAAGTCCAGCTCTGTAATTCCTCCACTTCATTTCTCCACTGTGTCCTTGTGTGGTTCCAGTTTTGTTCCTCTTAATTAGATCAAGACAGATTTCCGCGGAGACTTCAACGGCAGGGTTATCAGCCTATCATCTGTGGTGTCCCTCTGAAACCACTTTCAAAGGACTTTTGTAAATTTAGACCCTCCCTTTTTGCATCATATTTCATTGATGCAGGCCATATCTGCATCAAGTTCATTCTTGCCGTCAGTGCAAACATCCACCAAGTATCGCACGGCCATACCGACACAATCTTCCCAAGCTGATGGCAAAGAAGAGGGGAAGCTGGCACATCAATCCTCTTTTCACACCGCCAACCAGGAGGCCAAGGGTGACGTTTCTGAACTTTCACAACACGGCTGAAGAACTCTCATTATTTCTCTCGAGGAGGTTTAGACCACCCGTGGGACCACCTCACCTTAGAAGCTTAGAATGACTGCAACTGAGAAAACTGACTGGTTTTCTTTCCATTGTCCGAGCAACTTTCTAGCACAGAAATCAATTTGGACAACATTCCGCCATTTCCTTTTCAGATTTAAAAAAAAAAACAAACAAACAAAAAAAACAGCTTTAAGTAGGAACGTGTTTCTCCCCATATTGATGGTGACCATTAGTAGGTCCCGTCTCATGTTCAACCAGCCTTCTTTCATTTCCCCCCCCCCCTTTCTTCGCTTGCAGTAACTTGTACACAAATGGAGTTTCCCCGGATGTACGGCTGCAGACCAGTTCAAAGTGCTCCAGCCACCGTTTGTGTGCTGCTACGTCGATGAAGATCTATTATATTATTAGTTTTTACTTTTCAGTAGCTTTTACCACAGCAGACCCTGCTGTGACCTTTTTGCCACAGCAGACGAGCAGACACTGCTTCTGAAATAAGCTGATTATGAGCAACTGGAAGATCTGTATCGTGAGGCTGATACACCCCATGACACGTTGAGGTGGGAGAAACATGTATCACAGCCAGGGAACCAGTCTAAAAGGTGGCCTGTATCTCAGGACTATGCAGATCAGCATTCATGTTAGTTTGCTTACCGCATCCCTCTAACAACCCCCTCACTTTATACTGGAGATTGCCTATCTCCTAGAACTGGAAGGGACCTTGAAAGGTCATTGAGTCCAGTCCCCTGCCTTCACAGCAGGACCAAGTACCATCCCTGATGAATTTTTGCCCCAAATCCCTAAATGGCCTCCGCAAGGATTGAACTCAGAACCCTGGATTTAGCAGGCCAATGCTCAAACCGCTGAGCTATCCCCCCCCCCCATTCAGTATAGTATGGCCCAATGGCCAGAGTCAATAGTGCAATCCCCCTAAGGTCAAGAGAGTATGCCCCACTGATCAGTCAGAAGAATAATCCCCTTAAGGTCGAGGTAGTATGACCAAGTGACCGAGTCAACAGAGCAATCTTCTTAAGGTTTAGGTAGTATGGCCCAATGGCCAGAGTGAATGAACAGTAAGCTGGGTTTCCACCCCCTGCTGGGCAGGGAAGGGCTGGGTCCCGACCCAGGGCCCTGTCAGTAGCAGACTCCCTTGACACCAGCTCGCCAGGGATCACCTGTAACATGCCACATTTCAGTCGGTTCCTGAGCCATTCTTCTGTAATGCCCTCGGTCCATTCCTACCCGATCCTGAGGCATCTGTGGTGTCCACAATTCAGTGGTCTCTGCATTCCTTAGGACCTCTGGTCCTGTTTGTCCGGCCCCAAAATCTTGAAGCGGCAGGGGTCTACCTGCTGGAGCTCATGGTGCCCCACCTCCTCCTCTGGCAGTCAGCACAGACTGAGTCCCTCAAGCCTTTTATACCCTGGTTCCAGGAGGAACCTGCCCAGCAGAGAAGGGGCGTGGCCTCTTCTGATCACAAAGATGGGTTAACTCCTGGTGTGCCAGTGTGGGGCCGATACACCCCATCACAACCTGGAATAAGGAACTGAAGATACACTCACGGCTTCTAAGAATCGTGGATAAAAAGTGTCTTGCTGGCACACTTCCATAATGAATTTTCCATTTGTCCTTGAAGAATCTAAAACAGCTGATTTTACTGCACTTTGAGAGGAGCACAAATCCCTGACTACTTAACATCTGAATTTTACCTAAGCTATACATCAGATTTTGTAACTTGACTTCACTGAATCACTGGTTTGTTTCCGCTTTCTCACCTTTACACACAGTCAGATTAGTGTAAGAACTTATGTTTGGCAACCACTAATCAGCCCTTTTACAACACTGACCAGCAGGTTTCAGTTAGAATGAGAAACCCCAATGTCGGGGTGGGAAGCCTTTTTCGGGTTGGGGCTGCTGACCTTCCGAAAAATCAGTCAGGGTGTGTCTAGACTACGGAGTTTTTTTCCGAAAAAAGTGGCCTTTGGGGGAGGGGGGACGGAGGAGACTGGACTTTACCAGTGTCTAGACTGCTGTCGTGTTTTTGAAATTAAATTGAAAGAACACGGCATTTTTTTCAAAATCAGTAAACCTACTTTTACTAGGAAGAACGCCTTTTTCGAAAGAGCTGTTTCGAAAAAAGGCGTTCTTGAACGCAAAGAGGGTTTTTTCGAAATTTGCAGCTGTCTAGACGATCTTTCGAAAAAAGCTTGTAGTCGAGACATACCCGCAGGACTACAAACAAGCGAGAAAGAG